TTTAGTAGTTTGAGATATAAGATGTAGAATAGTGTAGAGTTCAAACAAAGCTTGTGTGTTTCATGAGCATCACATGTAAAGTCACAATGAACAAAACTCAATGCTATTATATCTCATTTTCTGGACGATTGTTGTCCTCATCATGTCTGACACTCAAAAACATCCAGTTCTGGCATCTACAAAGTTTGGTGAAGTTCGGTTTTGTTTTGCAAATGATCGCCATCATGATGATGAGGAGGATGATGATGATGAAACCACTCACAAGCACAGAGATGACAGTATCCTTGGATCCTGCTGCTGTCTCTGGTGGAGAGGATCCTGATGGGTTTTCTGGGTTTATATGTTCTGAGGAAACTGAAGAAATAATCAATAGTTGTATTAAATTATAATAACTTTCTTACCAAGAGTTTTACTATCATTTTCAGGTTTAATGGTTTTGTTAACAGGTTTTAAACCACTGTTAGTAGATTGAACATAAATGTACATTTGCAAAGATTTACTAAACTATAAGCAAAAATGTTACAGTATGCAGTACCTGATGTGTCCACAGTGAATTTTGATTTGCCCACTACACACGTTGTTTGCACAAAGAATCTGAATTGTTCTGTCATTGCTGTAGTTGGAGTGTAGCGGCATGTGAAGCTGTTTCTCAGTTCACAGGAGTCATTAGGAAAGTCTTGACGACAGATTACGGAGTCATTAATGCTCTCAGGGTATTGAAACATATACATTACAATGCAGCATTCAGTGAACAGCAGAGAGACGCTGCAGGTGAGAGTTACTTCTTTACCCACAGATCCAGTCACATTCTCACAGCTTACAATGACTTCTGAAAAATAACAATATATTTATCAGTTTAATACATCAACAGTAAACTACTTTGTCATTTTTCACTTTAAGAAATTCAATCAGTTCAATCAAGTTGAAGTGTGTCGCTTCTGCAACATTAGGGCCACCAAAAGGGACTGCAAAAATAATGACTGCTTCCAAACACTCCCCCGTCTGCAACTCTTCATCTACCACATTACTCTGGGTCACATACTGCAGCCGTGTTATCAATAATACAGCAGGTTAAATTATCTTTAGAGAAAGTGAATTATTCAGAATGGGAGAAGAAGGTATTTTCTCACTACCTTTATCAGCTTGACAGACAGCTGTGAAAGTCCAAACCAGTATGAACAGCAGCACAACATTATCAGCATTCATGACTGTTTCTGAAAAAAATAAGGCAAATATTTAGATCTAAACTGAAGCTTAACCAACCATGACTAGAGACATTAGTAGTTCATCCAAAAATGAAAATTCAGCCATCATCTACTCACCTTCATATCATTCCAAACCTGTGTGACTTTCTTTCTTCTCTGGAACATAACATAACATAACATAACATAACATAACATAACATTACATAAGATAGATAGATAGATGTTGACCCAAATACAATCACAAGAGCATTGTTGTCACACCACTCCACTAATTTATTACGCCTCAGTGTTATTTTGTACATATAATGAAAGTGAAATCAGATGGATGTCTTTGGCTGTTAAATCATGCTTGCCTAACATATTCTATATTACAGATGTGCATTATATGAAGACTCACTTGCCCTGTTCAGTTCAAAACAGCAAACTACTCTTACTATTTCAGACATATCTTTATTGTTGTCTTTTAGTTTTGGAAAGTCTACCACAGTATCACTTTCATTCTTGAAACATTAAAAATGGTGCATATCCTGCTACTGAATACAGCTTGAGATAATACAGCTGCAAAACAGACAGTTATACAGCTATGAATATACTGAAAGTACAGTCAAACTTTTTAATTCAAAAGGACAAACATTGGGCAAAAATATTCTAAAACAGCACATTCATACATAAAACACAGGGCAGCAATTATGAAAACACAGCAGACAGTGTCACTCGAACAGGTTTATCAAATGTTAATACACTTAATATCCAGTTTTGATGTCACCTCTGTAGCTCATTTCTAATGGGTTAAACTAACAATTTACTCCGTTTAAGACTAGTTATTCCCATATAGCCTAGCATATTAAATGATCATATATCTTCATTTAGAGATACAGTCTTCAACATATCAGGCTAAAGAAATACTCACATTTCTAATTTAATAGAATACTCTAACTTCGCTTCACAGACATTCAGAGGATCGATTTAAAAAGGGAAAATTGCGCTCGATGTGAATATGATTTTTACTACATATCTCTCAGTATGTCTTCATCTGTGAACTGTAACGTTACTTTCACTTTCAAAATCACTCAGATTTAACTTAGTGCTGTTTTCTCTTTCTTATTTGAGGTTTAAACGGCAGAAACTGATCTAGATGGTCACTTGTAGGCTAAGGGAATACAGTTTTATCGTCTTCATATGTTCATATGTGTTGTTGTTTTTACAGGTTTGGACCGCTTCGCTCGCGCACCGCAACAAAACTACTGCGATATAACATTACAGTAGCTGAACTCACCTGAATGTCGGTATATGTCCACAAACTCAGTTTCTTAAATTCCTCATTATCATCGTTAAGTCCTGATCTTTGAACCTGAAATCTTTTAGAGAAAAAGAAAAAGGCTCAAGCTGTCGACACACTCTTCTTCTTCTTCTTTTCTCTTTAATGGCGGTTGGCAAACCCACTTGAAAGGTGTATTTCCGCCACCTACTGGACTGGAGTGTGGAGCATGCCGTATACTGGTGACCGCGTATAGAAAAATAAAAACTCCTTCCTACTTCCAAAGTTTTTCCTTTCATTTCCAACTTGTTTTGAATGTTTTCTTCGTCTTCTTTTTCTTCTTCCTTTATTAGGATTAGCAACAAGTACACAAAAATATACAACCCTAGTAACAACAAAATCTCAAAACTCTTGATTTTGAATGTTGTTTAGATGTCGACACACTCTTCCTGGGTCGCCAGGTCTGCGAAACCAAAATGGCCCAATGGACAAATCATAGACCAAAAGTAGCCAGTCACCACATCCCAAATATAAAACCTCAAGATATGCTATTCCATCCCTAAAATGCATATTGTACAGTCACTGTCATGCAAACTGAAAACCACTGTATCGTAGCGATCATAAACACAACTCAAGGGCCCTCCTTCACAAAATGTATCATCTCGCGCAGGTTTATCATTGGTAGAATATACAATATTTCAATACAAGCATTTCAGTCAAATACAATTTATGCACTGTCAAACCATTAACCCGCACCGGCTGCAACAGTTTAAACCCCAAGTAGCCCAATTCTGCACTAAATCCACAAACTTGGCAACCCTGTGACCAATCATGTCAACGTCACCGCTTACGTCACACACGGAAGCAGTGGCAAAAAGACCAAATAAGGCAAATAGTCAAATAAATCATGTCAGTATCATCAACAGTGTTGCCAACTTAGCAATTTTGTTGCTAAATTTAGCAACTTTTCAGACTACCCTAGCAACCTTTCTTCCTAAAGCACCTAGCAACAAATTTAGCTATTTTTAAAAAATTTATTTGGCAACTTTTAGCAACTTTTGATAAGCGACTCAAACGATAAAAAGGGCACAATTTACCATTTAAATTACA